ACACACACACACACACACACACACACACACACACATACACATATATATATGTGTGTGTGTGTGTGTGTGTGTGTGTGTGTATGTATATATATACAGTGTGTTTATGTTTGCTTAATGACTGTGCTGTCTTAATGTACATTGAACTGGGAGATCAGGGAACTGTTATCCTACCAGTTAATAAGTGATTGACTGACTCAGCATGAAGACTGTTTTGTATCGAGAGCATATGTAACAACAAAAAGAAGAAACTTTTTTTTAAAAAGGAAGATTTTTGTTTCTTTTTTCTGCTGATTAATTACAACTGAGTCAGGAAACCTGAAAGGGACAAGACATACAACGCTTCTAATTACATGATTCCTGCAGTGGCAACCACCTGCTGAAGTCAGTTTTATCTGTACTCAAGAGATTTGACTTCAGGTCTTTGCACAGACACTTTTAGGTGCAAGGCTGAAAAAGAAGAGGACATAGAAAAAATGAGCTTCCTTTTCACAGTTTAACCATTTATTGGAATTTAAGAAAGAAAGCATATGGATGTCATGTGGCAGGGGATGACAGATGAGGCGTGGAATTTCTTAGAGAAATGTTGTTAAATTTCCCATCTGCCATATTCATTTTCTTCAGAAGTGTTACTTTCTATACATAGCAATTTTACAGGAAGTCCAAGTCAGCTTATTTTACTTAATCGTTGGGAGTTTAAGCAGCTGCACAAACTGTTCGTTCATTAGTTTATCCCATGAAGGCGCACGTGGTCGCAGATGATTTCTAACCTATAACTCTGGTCTTGTCTCCGATGTTTCAGATGGCTGTTTGGAAAGCCCTCTTCCTCGTCTTTTGTATACTGGACTGCATGGAGCAATCCGCCTCATTACCAGTTGCTCAGACTAATTCCCTGTATCTTAATTGCTTCAAGCACACAAGGTCCACTCGAACTCGTGTGCAACAGCTGCTAGGGAAATATGTAAGTACTAAATTTAGTTCTACTCCATGGTCTGACACTAGTTGTTTTTTTTTTCCTCAGCTTAAACTTATAAGTTATTGTTTTGTGTAATATTTATAGAAGGAGCAGCAGCTGGGAAACGGGCAGTTTGAGGACAGAAGCCGACACTTGAAGGACCTGCCCTCACTTTCCACAGAATTCTATCGGTGGATTAATCTGACGGTTAGTAAGTCCCTCTGTGTTTCAAAACACTTTCATAGAAAATCATTCTCTGATTAACTTTTGGTGTTATTCTGAGAATTTCTTGTTTTGACCTTTTCCATTATGAGGAGAACAAAAAAACAAACAAAAAAGGAGAAAGAAACCTGATGACTCTGTCAGAAGGTTTGCTTTTACAGAATAAAAATGCTTGTAAAAATTTGCATGGAATTCCCCTTTTTGAAACTTCAAGCACAGATGGGGTTGTGCAACGCTTCATTATGTAATCATGTGCTTGTCACTTGTGCGTTCAGGAGTGGGAACGACTGCATGCCGCTTTCTGGGACATGAAAACCTACTGGAATATGCTGGAGTGGAAGAGAATACAGCTGGAGAACGAGGAGAAAGATCAGAAGATGGTGCAGGATGCTCGGACAACTCTAACTCAGAACATCAGACACATTCAGCTGGACTTGCGGGACCTGATTAGCCAAGTTAGCACTCAGGTATCAACAGTCTTTTTACTGAAATACACCCACATTTCATCATCCCCCTTCCCTGTGGAGGAAGTGACATCAAAAATGGTCTGATATAAGATTTGTTTTGCTTTCTCCTCTAGATGAGCTCTTTGAGAAGCTCTTGGAAAAGGCCAGCAGCTGCTTTGGCACAAACACGCCTGAACCCAGCAAGCAGGTCCAGGACAGTATGGGACAGCCGAGTGGAAGGTTACATCATCCTGAGGGATCTGGACCTTTACCTCACCAAGCTGGCAAGAGACTTTCTTTTACTGGCTACGAAAATACAGTCATGACTCAAAACTGAAAAAAAGACAACACACACACACACATGCGCACAAAGTCAAAGAGAAAAAAGGAAGAAATAGTTGAACTGACTCTCAGCACTTTGATCAAACTGGAAAGATTGTGATAGTTTTCATTCAAGTGTTTTTATTAACATTTTGCGAGGGGCTCTGATTATTGCGAGTCTGCTTTTTATTCCTTCTCATTTTAAGGGCTTTCTTGGGTATTTCCCAGAGTTTCTGTCTCACCTCTGACTGTAAGTTAGACATGAGCTTTCAGAACGGCGAGAACGCTTCCCAACATCCTGTTTTTCCACCCACGCCCTCGATCTAGTGGACTTTCCAAAGATATTTTGCTATTTATTGAAATATTTATTACAATGCTATTTATTTTAAAGTGGTTTATTTTAATTCTCTTGCAATATGTAATACAGTGTTTTACAGAAGACATTTTATATTTGATAAATATTTTGTATTTTTTTCAATAAAGAGTTACAGCATTTGAAATGGCGACTACTTCATGTCTTAATTTTCATCTTTGGTTATCAATAGTTAATGCAACACTGAAGATAATCTTGTTATAATGAAGATGTACAGAATATGAATCAATAAGCACTCTGTCGGGCATGTTTTGTATTCTGTGGTTTTCTCCTGTAAGCTGCAAACTGATCAGTTAGCTGGTTTTCTGTGTCTTCATGTGGCGTTGATCTGAGGGGCAGTCTGAAGAGTGAAATCAGATCGAACACAGTCAGCTATCAAATGTTTTTGGTATCAAAACACCCCTCCCTGTCTGCAGGCTCCCCACATGATATCAGAGCAGCCGCTGACTCACCACTAGCAAATGTCCTCGTCTGCCTTTGGTCACTTTCAGCTCTGCGCCCCTCACAAAATCAATTATTCCTTCCTTGCCTCGGGCCACAGTAAACTGGATGCTGCGTGCCAAGAACAGATGATAAGATGGACTGATGGTGACCACCACACAGAAGCAGCCAGTCTGAATCTTACCTGCCCGGGTTGATGTTGACGTTGCTGGTCTTGTTGGCCATCATGGCTAATTTTGTTACCAGCTCGATCGAGTGGCTGCAGTGCAGCAGCAGATCCCCCTGTGGGAGAGACAGCGGGCTTTAGAGTGGCTGCATGGTTGCTTTATTCCACACAGGCATGACTGTTGTGTCCTACTGTACCTTCTGTTTATTGTCCTCCCTTGTGATGTGAAGAACACACATCCCATCGCTGAGAGAGCTCAAAGCGATATCTGTTTCAAGAAAAACACAAAACAAATCACTAAACGCACACTGAACAGTCACAATGTGCATAATGGAATACCTAGCTGTGTTGTGGTGACCTCCTGAACTGTAACACGAAGCCATTGCAAAAGTGCCAGAAACCTTTAATAGCAACTTGAGGCTAACTCCAAAAGCAAGTTATTCCCCGTAGACTCCGATCTTAAAAGTCCCCAACTTTACAACATCTTTTACAGTCTGGTGCAAAACAGTTTTGATCTCTGTGGATAGTTTTCCCCTATGATAACAACTGTATGGGGCAAATCATTCTTAGCTGATTCATATGCACACCGGAGTTAAGTCTGTGACCGTTATGAGTAACGAGTGTTCCTGCAGAGGCAGCTGCTGTAGTCAGCAGCTGCCTGCTAGACATCCCCTCTGTTGATTCAAGTCTGCAGAGAATTATCTGACTCATAACGACTTCCCATGTAAAGCCCATCCACGAATTTGTGAAGGTTTTTATTACATTGTTTTACAGCACTAATTAGAATACGTGCGTGAACTTGAACCTATATAGTTTGCTAGCAGTAGCTGATAAGTTCACAGTCCACTTTATCATCCAGATATGGAAACTTCTGCTTGAGAGTCTCTAGAGACTGAGCTGAAGTTTCCAGAAAAAGCCGTTTAGATTTTGTGACCGCAGATGGACGTTTAAGAAAACAGAAGAAGCAGGATTTAAAACTGTAAAGATTCCTCCCTTACAAAAAATATGCATTTACAAGTGATGAATTCAAGAACATTATCTCAATAAGTATCTCAATATACCACATTTTTAAAACTGTCCCCTTCTCAGGGCTGGTTTTCACCTCTCAGAGCTGTGTAGTCGATCCTCTGCTTGATTTTGGTCTTGTCCACCAACACAGCAAAGGTGTTAGTGAGGAGCAGCTGGCGAGGGCGCGGCTTGAAACCCCTTTTGTCATACTTTATGACTGAAACACCGTACTGAAAAGGACAAGGAGACGCATTACTCCAAAGCAGCATTTATTATCGCCATCATGCTTCAAACAAAAAAAAATCCTACCTGCACTTTGTCATTGCCCAGAGTCTGGACGACTTTGAGACTGATTTGCTCACGTTCTGTATAAAGCAGTAGAAATGCTCTGTGAATTTTTTATGCTTGCCAGTGGGTGGTGGATAACAAGTGCAAAGACAATGAATACATAAACGTGTACCAAGCCTGGAGTCCAAAAACAGCTTTCCAACACTCTGAGGGTAGCTGTCTTTCTGATCCTTGAAGATCTCACTGGCTACAACCTTCTGCATCATCTAGAGGACAAACAAAAATCAAGTGAAATTTAAATAAAGATTAAAACAAAACAACTAAATGAAAGCCAGTCAGCTGCAATCTGACCATCTTGCAGGAAAATACAACAACAAGATAACAGGTAGACCATCTTCTGTTATCAGTGTACCTGCTTCTTCCATTCGGGCTGGACTCTCCAGCAATACTTTGTGACCATGTTCCGCATGTGCAGCCTCTGCAGGTGCTCCGATGCCTGTAGGAGACCAAAGAATTAATAATGCAGACTATCTATTCAAATATCATATTATCTGTGTGCAATGATCTTAGACAGCAGGGGGACTCAATTTGAATGTGGGGTTTTTGCACCTCATCGAGAGATGGAGGAGGTGTCGGCCAGGATTTGTCCAAAACACTCTTGGGCAGGTTTTTGCGTAGATTTTTCAAGAAGGAGTAACGAACATGATCCAGGAAATAGTCATTCTCAGGACCGTATTCCCCATGACGGTAGATGAAGCCTTTAATGAACCTGGGAAAAAAAATGCAAAAATCATGATGGAAATTATTATATTTTGCAAAACACAGCACCAAAAACTAGACGCCAAAAAAAGTTTCATTCAAGCACCTGCGAATTAAGTCAGCAGCCTGGCGACGCCTTTTAGCTCTCCTGCGTGCTTTCATCCCTCGCCACCCCGACTGGATCACTATCACTATATATATACACACATGCACGTATAAACACCAAGACAGCTCTTATACTCAGCCAAAGAGAACACCCCAACGTTCGTGCAGCAGACATATAAAGTCAGTTTAGACCCACAAAGGAATGCTAGGAAAATGAAACAAAGCTGTATTGCAGATTTATGCATTTGTACCAAGCAGGTAGGTCCAATGTAACAATACTATACAAACACATTAAACACTTGTATATTCTCATTTTAGGGGCTATTCTTTAAGGAGAAAGGTGGCAAAGTATGAGAGCGCCAACAGCTGGAGGTGGTCTGACCTGCACGCCTGATGCGTTGGTACTTGGCCCTCTCTCTGTAGCCTCTCCATGATGTCTGCAGGGTCAGTGCTGAAACATGAGGAATATAGTTTTACTGCGTACCTTATGATTGTGTTTAAAATGTGTTCATTTTGATGATTCAAGTCAGGAGCTGTTTCACTAAAACCTCCCAAAAAGCTGAAGCTTCACATCTTTGACACTCTAAACTCATTAGAAGTGTGTTTCATGAATATTTGCATCACTACCTTATATTTTGTTTCAGTTGTGACGCCCTCAGTTTGATAATCCTTGCTATTGCTGCTTACCTATCTCTGGCTTTTTCGCTTCTAGAGCATCTTCAGTATTGAAAAGAGTTTTTGGAAAACGGATGAAGATTTTTGATCTGCAGAAAGCAGCCAAAAAAAAAAAAAATTGTGATCAACACAAAATCAGTGTGCCTTTCAATGGACACTTATTGCAATGAAGTGTGATTAAATGCCTTGCATACAACATTAAACAAGTTACCTCCCCAGTTTGTACTCTTCATCTTTGTATCCCAGGTGCTTAACCAGTGTCAAAACTCCATCTGCGAGTCTGCCATGCCAGTTGGGCCACGTCTCAGGACACAGGGGCTTATACCTAAGAGCATTTATGAACGGTTACAATAAAAGAAGAATGAACATAAAGTAAACAGCCACTGCAACTGTGAACTACCGCTGCAGGAAGGCTTCAAAGCGCCGACGATATGCAAAGCCAGCTCTCCTGACCCTCAGGTTTTCCATCAGACCCAGGTACTTCACCTGATGTCGAACCAGAACTTCATCAAACCTTCCTGCAGGGACAGAAACCGTATTTATTAGTAACAAAGAAATATTTCTGGCCAATGATATGAAACACAATCCACACAGCAGGATAAGCTTCATTACATACATTAAGAAGCTGGGGGTTTTATTTATTTGAAATAAAAAGGACATTTTTATTAAAAAAGTTGCGGCTGAATCAAAATTCCTTTTGTTAGATTAACTTATAACCTTCTGTAATCACATGCTAGTTTGTTGTTGAATCAAACAAAACACATCTTCCACCTTTACTATTAGAGTGTTTAAGAAGGTATTTCCTTTTCTGAGAGGTTTTGATTGAGAACGGGAAACGTAAGAAAAGAATTAGGTCAAACATAATTAGTTTATGAATCACCAACTAAACATCATTTCTAGTTCACTGCCGTGTGACAAAACTGAGAACACAGCAGCCAGTATTAGACGGGTAACCTTTACATTGTTTTTCTTGATCTGTATTTAGGATCTTCTAATAAAGCCTTTATTTGAGACCCGGACCCTCCCAAATAAAAACGCTTATATATCCCAATTAATATGACAGGATGTGAAACATGTACCTGGCTGCTTGGCGTCATTTGGTTTGATACAGCGCACGTAGGATGGCTCTTTAGACCTGAGGATTTCTGTAAGTTTCATCAGGCTGTTTTTGAACTGAGTGGCAGCCTAAATGATCAACAAAAGAAAATTAAACGATGTGAAATTCTCAGAGTGTATTTTCTGTTTTTTTAAATCATGCCTACAAATGATCAACATAGAGAGTGTGACTGATTTGTTACCATCTCTGGGCGTTTCTGGTCTATGACTTCCTCTCTGCGGAAGCAGTGACTTAGGATCTGGTTGTCTGACTGGCACATGACCTGAACAGAGGCCAAACCACAAAACCACAAGTCAACATTAGATGTCCCCCCTCTTCCTCTTCACTCAAGCAATGGCAGGAGACAGAGTGGTTTTCAAAGGTTGCGGTGAGGCTCTACCTTGTCCCTTTTCACTATCCTCACCTCTTTCAGGTTCCTGTTCAGCAAGTCATTGTTCTTGTCGAGGAAACCTGAATGGAAGCAAAAACACGGTGATTGAGGAATAAGCTGCTTGTGAATCATCCTCTCTATGTGTTGTCTCATAACAGGAAATGTAAGTATGAATATGCTATTGATCCAGCCTTAACAGTTTACCATTGACATTGTAGTTGACCTCTCCGGCATAATGCAGCAGTCTGAACTCCTCCCTGCTCATCACCCTGCGAGTCTTTCCATTTGCCAACTTGTGCCTGAAATAAACACACACATATAGATTTACTCACATATATTGTACAGTACAAGTACAAGTCTTTGATATAAGATGATGCTTACGTGACAAAATGGGGATGGCCGCCCACTGTGTCCTCCAGTTTCTCTAAAAAGGAGACATCACAAGTTTCTCCGGGCCTTAGGCACTCCTCGTCCTGTAAGTTATTTACACTATTTAATTTCTCAAAAAGTGAAAGAGAAATAAATAATCAAAGATACAAACTCAACGCTGTTTTACGCACCAGAATGGAGATGATGCCTTTGTGCTTCTCTTCTATCAGGTCACAAATGATCTTGTTGTCAAAGTATTGCACAGTTTCCCACTGCATGTGATGGGAAAGAATGTAGTTTTAGCATCGAAATTCGATATCAATAGTTGTTTCACACTGACTACGCAATTAGCAGCTGTACTCACTGCAATTCCTTCCGTCTCATATTCTTCCTGCTCAGATCTGAGGGTCAGCTCTATAAACAGCTGCTGGAGCTTCTCATTGCAGTAGTTGATGCAGAACTGCTCAAAACTGCAGGCGGGAAACTTCTTTTAAAACAGAACAAAACTACCACATGTTGCAGGGACACTGAAGGCTACTTTTGACAGCGAAACCGGTTGACGAACTGCGCTAAGAAGCAGATGACGGTGAAGAGGAAAAGAATATAATCCATACCTGTTGTGCTGCAAGACCTCAAAGCCATAGATGTCTAGAAGCCCTATGACTGAGGAACCTTTGCTGCTGTGGTAGATTTCATCCTGCACAGCATATACAGTGCACATCATTCAGACAGAGATAGAAGACAACAACGGCCTCACAATAAGATGGAGGAATTTCTCTTGTTATCTTTAAGTTGTTATGAGTGCTGCACCTTAAGAGCCAGTGACTGGTTGATCTTCTCCACCAGCCACGTGAAGGTCCGACCATACACAGCCTTGGCTAAGGCGTCACGGGCAGCCTCCGCTTGCTCAAAATTTAGCGGGGTGATCATCTGCATAAACATAAAAACAGCCCAGTAAAAACATGTGCATCGAACAACTGGAAACCTGAGGAGTGATGATGAAAAGATGATGACCTCCTCTCCCTTGGCTGTGAGCTTCTTGTGAGTGAGTGCCTCCCTAAGGGCTGAGCCATCGACACCCAGCAGCTGGAGAACAACAACACATCTGCTCTCAGTCAGGCTGTTTTGTAAGATTTCTAAGCATATTTAAACATCTGTCAATACTAGCGGGATTGTACTGACCCTTGCAAGATTAGAAATCTCAGTGGTGATATAGGTTTCACCTTCCTCCCCTTCCCCAAACTGCGTGTTTCCCAGATGGAGAACACTGGCGATGATATTCAGCAATTTCTGACGCGGGAGACAGAAAGAACAGCTGGCAACAAACTCACAGAAGAACAATTTGTTTTTCAAATGCGTCGATGATGATGTAGTGTTCAGAATAGCATTATTTATACCAAAACTGTCAGAAAAGAGCTCATTAAGGATTCCAGTGTTGCAATGATATAAAATGATTTGAACATGGTAAAACTCTGACTGTTACTGACCTGCACTTCTTCTTCTGTGAAGCCAATGACAGGAAGGGCCTTCATCACAACCTTCCAATTATTCTTGTCACTTATGGAGCTGACTCTGGGACAGTTGCCCTGAAAAAAGAAACAATTTAAAACGGTGCTAAAACTAATGGCGCAGACAATTTGTAATTCTTGAAACTGCGCGACACACACCTTAACCAGATAGCGGTAGTTCTGGGGGTTTCTTTCCAGGTTCAGTGTGTTGAGTTGGTCATCTTGTCCTCCATCCAGAAGCTGATAGAAGATGTGGAAGTTTCTCTCGCCGTGGTTCTGATGTACTACACGAGATTTCTCCAGCAGGTAGTTTAAGATGTGACCACCCACCGGTGCCCCCTTGAAGAGGTTACACAAAAAGATGAGAGCTGAGAGCAACTATTAAAGTTTTCTTCTAGAGTTGTTGCTTTTCGATGCTATGATGACTGATATGATGTTATCCAATATATCAGTTTTAGCGTTTACCCTAAAGTCAAACTGGACATCCATGTATTTCCCAAAGCGGCTGGAGTTGTCATTCCTTAGTGTTTTTGCATTGCCAAATGCCTTTGTAAAAAAAACAAAAACAAAAACAAAAAAACACAGGAAATTAGAGAGAGGAAGTGAAATTAAAAGAAAGAATGCAACATAAAATCCCACAAAAATCCCATATAAAAACAACAGATAAGTCAGATAATATCATGCACTGCAAATACAAGCTAATCAGCTTGAAAAGCCTAATTTTTAAATACCTCCAGGACAGGGTTTGACTGTAGCAGGCGGTCACCAAGTGCTGCCATGTGATCATTAGTGGGGCAGGTGACAGCGTAGTAGAGGAGGATCTTCTTGGAGGCCTCTGTTTTACCTGCTCCACTTTCGCCTGATATGAGTATACACTGGTCTTTTCTCTCGGTCCGCATGGCCCGGTAAGTGTTGTCTGACAAGGCATAGCTGAGGAAAAAACAAAAAATGCAGGTTCAGCTACAGATCAACATGCAGGTAAAACACAGCAGTGGAATAAAGTCACACAAAAATCAGCGTAGATCCAGAAAACCCAAAGCAAATACAGAGAGGTTGTTGTTCCATCTGCAGTAATTTGTATTTGGTAGTAGGGATCTGTTATGGGACCTCCCTGACCGTATGTGTGCATATGTGGAAAGCTTAAGGTAGGGAGAGCAGTAAGATTACTACTATGATTATAAGTAGCTAGGGTGGGTTTCCAAGCAGCTTGTAAGGGTTGCTGCAGCTGTAGGGAGCTAAAATAATTTGAATAGCAAGATGAGATTTAGGGATATGTGCAAAAAGCAAGCTCAGATCAGCCAACTTTACATAAAGCCACTTTCAGCTACTCTGTTATTCACAAATGGTTGGCACAGCGAGTAGCTCCACATGATTAATTTTATAATCACTTTATAAATAATATATAATATTTCAAAAATATCAGATTTAGTTCATAATTATCTGCTCGTGTGATTTGCTTTCTTCTCATCCTGACTGAATATTTAGGGTTTTTTGAGCTGTAGTCAGACAAAAGGCAAAAACTGAAGCAACATTTAGTTTTTGTTTGGTGTTTATCAAACTGAACCATTAATAAAAAAAACGCCTGAGGAGCCTGAAGTGACTCACATGTGAGGCGATATTTCGTAGAAGCTGACCCCTCTGTAACGATCCATCTGCTGCTTGGAGTAAATCTCTAGCTCTTTGTACGGGTTCATCGACACCAACACTGAGCCGATATACGTCTGACATCAAACACAGGGAGTAGACACCACGTTCAAGTTATGGCTTATCACATCACGGGAAATGTTTTAGAAAATATGAAGAAAAATGATTACATAAATGAGGTTTTCTCTGAAGCGCCGCCGCAGATTTTCTATGAAGGCTGCCTCGCTGTTGTAGTTTTCCAGCAAGACAAAGTCCTGCACCCCAACCCTGTCCCGGGCAGTCAGCGCACCCTCCATGACCAGACGCACTCTTCCCTCAATGTCCACCTCCTACACAGAAAAGGAGAAAAAGAATCGTTACAAACGTACATGGAATGTGAATTTCTCTTCATTCTTGAGTCACTTCCTGCCTTAAATGGCAATCGAAGACAGGTTTTTAATCTTTCTTATAAATATCTAACATAAGCAATTACATGCTGCTGACAAGCAGGGGGCACAAAAGGACAATTCATATTTCCAGCTTCACCCAGTAGTAAACAGGTTAATACGCAGCGCACAAGAAAACAATAATTACCACATGATTTTGATGGCACGATATTTATTTCAAAACACTTTCAAAATGCCAGGGCAAATGAATCAGGCCTAAATCCCCCAAGCGGCGCTCTCTAAAGTTTACAGAGTGCTTCTTGGCTGTGGAAACAAGTCCTGCAAGTGCACAAAGAAGAACAGTTCCACCAAGCATGCCAAGATTAAACAAAGAAGTAATTTAAGGAATCCTAATGATAAACAGACAGGATAGACTCCTCTATTTTTCGACAGAGACAGTGTATTATTATGTGTGTACACAGTACACAAAGTTTTATATCACCAGATGGGGTTTAACTAGAAAAATGTGTGTACATGTCAACCCCACTGTGAAGATAAACATCGTAGTGGAGACAGGAACGAATTACTAGAGAAATTCTTAGATATGCCCTAAAGTCAGATATAACATGCACACAACAACATGCAGCATCATGCAAAGAGATAAAAGAAATGTCAGCAGTCATTACTTACTGATGAGAAATATCCAGAAAAACACTTGAGCGTATATTAAATGCACAATATACCACAGCCAAACAAAAGGTGCTCTATGTTCGGTATCAAAGGCTCATTTAAGAAACAAGCCCTACTCTTTCACATTCATAAAATACAAGCAGTAAGTGGAACAAAGGGGTTAGACTTCCACAGGACGTTTGTTTTTCTTGAATGCAACAGCCTCTCGAGGGTCTCATTTGGCCGGCCAACGCTGCTAAAAGGTCATTATCTCTGACCACTTCATGCAGGAATATCCTTAAAAAAACAAGAGGACAACAGTGGACGACAGCCAAGAAGTGAACGCAAAGAAGCCACCGCACACTTCCACTGCAGCCCCTCCTCTCTGCTTCACCTTGTATTATTGTTTTCCCACTTGCAGGTGGGCTTCCTACAAAAAGCAATTACTGTTCAAAGTCAGATTTTCCAAAAGGATATGTCTCAAGAATTTCAGGGTCAGATTTAGGGCATGCTTTCAGTGATTTTGATGCAATTTGACATTCTACTCATTCTACTCATATAAAGACAAGCAATGAGCAGTGCAGACAAAAACTTATCCTTCTAGTACTTTTAACAGAGGGAGTGCAATGATGTAGCAGGTTTTCAGTTTTCAAATGTTCTGCAACAGCTGTAATGAAAAGTGCCTGGATAACACTTGTTAGGTTACAGTCAGTGTATGAGGTTGCAACTCATCACATTCTGTACAGTGTCACGGGGTCTGCCACATTATTGTGAAACTCAAGAGTTCATCTCAGTGTGTTCTCTCGCTGTAGATGACTGGGCCACAGTTGAAGCTCTGGGCTTTAACGGACTTGCTTTGCCTAAAGCTTTCATTTCAGCTTCCTTAGCCCTCATACCTTAAGAGTTTCTGTGCTGTGGAGTAGCTGCTGTGCTCAGAGTACCTGCACAGTGTCCAGCTTGAATTTGTAAGGATCTTTTTCAAGTTATGTGTTTTTGCTTTCTTTCATTACAAGATTTTTGTCAACTTTATTGATCAGAGGCCTCATTCAGTACTCTTCTTTGATACCAAAATCAGAAAGATTGCTACCACTCGTGTTGGAGGTAATATGTGGTTCAGTTACGTTAAGGGCTATAGCTCTGGGATGGAGATTTAACCAGAAGCAAGTGTAATCCCTGTAGTTTTGTTTTCTGTGAACTGACCTGAGGCCTCCTTTTTACAGCACCTTGAGTGTGATCTAGCTGATGGTGCATGAGAGCTTAATGTAGGATTTGACTCTGAGTATCAGGGAACTTCTGTGAAATCTGCAGGTTTGTGGGTGCAGCTGCAGCTGCAGTAAGAAAGTTAACAGCAGGACTTGGCCCTAGGCCTCATGACTAAGCTCTGCAGGGCCAACTTCATTTCGGATTGTCTTCCTTATAAGGCATGCCCCACCACTCTGTCCCAGGGATAAGCAGCAGTGGTACCATGGTGGGCTCCTGACCAAAGTTGTGCCAGCAGGGATATAATGGAAAAATAGTGTTTATGTTTTTTTTTTTCTTTTATCCGGACTGCTTGAGTTAAGGCTTACACAAAACCCCAAATATACACTGACTCATACACAGGAAAAAAATTCCAAGTGACTCATTGTTCTGTTTTGCTTTTCCCCCTCTGGTGTCTCCATGGCAGAAAGAGGGAATAGGTTGATCGGATATCGACTTTATTGTATCAGTACAGAAAATGCTTAAACATAGCCACAAGTAACCACAAATCGCGAGTAGGTGGGCCGCAATAAAAAGGAAAATAAAACAACGAGCATCATGGACCTTACCCTGGCTTGGTACCTCATCCTGTCCTGTTGTTGCTGGAAGAAGGTTGAACTGGTGGTTCCCCCTCAGGCTGGTGCTCCTCCTCCTGTCTCACAGACTTCTTAAATGCAGCTTCTCATCCACCTCTGCCCATGGGCAACACAATTAGGCAACTTTACGTCTTACCCTTCGGTCACTTTCTCTGTTTCTCTCTGCCTTGGCGTCTCTTCCGTCACGTCTTTGCGCTTCCTTGCTTGACTCCCCAGTGCACACACACTTAGGCCAAAACACAAGCGGCTCCTCTTGTTTGCACCTTCAATTCATCTTGTCCATGACAGGTCAAAGTAAATCACCGCCTCTCCGTGATTCCCTGTCCTTCCTTCTGAACTATTCTGCATGAAACAAGGGCAGGAACTACACTCACACGTCACTCTGAAAGAAAAAAAAAAAAGTCGAGGGAAAGTATGCTGTTGGATAATGAGAAAAAAAAGAGGGCCAGAGAAAACAGAGAGCGGAGAGGGTTAGGAAAAACTTGCTAAGAGCCCCAGACTAAAAACATGTAATCACTGTGCAGCTATTAAAAAAAAGAAAAAAAAAAACAGAAATCACATGATTGGCCCTTAGGACATTCTTTCCTTCCCTCTCTGTTAGTTTGCTCCCTCCCTTTTCTCCCACAAGCCGAGGCAGATTCACATGGGATGTGAATTATAAGTGTTTCACCAGCAAGACTGCCTGTCTCCTAGTGGCTGTCATCCACTGCTGACGAAATAACTTACACCATCATAGAAATATCACTCCGCAGATATATTAATATGAAGTGTTACATTCCCCATCTGTTTCCTTTTCCTGGCAACAACCACAACACAACACATTTTTAACTTAACACTGACTTAACATATGAGCCGTTCGCATGAATTATCAGATTCCTCTCTTATTATCCTCCCTCCTATTCAAGGCATTTTTTTTATGTGTGTGTGCTTTCAAGGCCACATCACCTTTCTAACAGAACAGCACCCTCCTCTGGTTCCCCACTCCTCATCTTTCCTCTCACTTCACTGTAGCTCAGGCTGTTTCCATGCCACACCCACTTTCACATGCCAGCATCAAATATCCAACAGAGAGGAATCTGAATAATGCTGCCCAGATGGGAAAACCTTTTACATTTTTTTCCCTTCTTACTCTCAATAGTGCTTAAAAAGAGATAAACAGTTTTGTATAAGCAATAAACACAAATACACCAATTTTAAACCAGTCAGCCTCACTTCATAATGCAGAGGTCTCCCTTACGCTATCAGAACAGCTTTGACGCTTAAGGATGTTGATATCAAACCTCAGCCTAGCATGTGCTGTGGTTTTTGATTCTGGGAGTTGGTGGGATTCTTTGTGTCCTGTGTGTTGTGAGGTGCGGCCTCTGTGGTGTGGGCTTGTTCAGCTCATCCCACAGATGAGCTGGATTAGGATGTGGAGAGTCTGGAGGTTGGATGAATGCTGTGGAGTCTGTGATCTGTTCTTAAGGACTATTTGTGGTGTGATGCATTGTCCTGCTGGGGTAAGCTTCTACCACTGAGGAGTGCTATTGTCAATGGAGAGGTGTGCATGCTCTATTTAAATGGCTGGTTCATCTTAAAGCATCATCCACATGGATGCCAGGGCCACATGATTCCCAGCAGAACATTGAATTGTAACAAGAAGATACATTTATCCACTTCACTTATGAGTGGTTTTAACATTATGGCTGATCACTGTATGTCAGCTGGTGTGAGTATTTCTCGTGCTGCCTCCTAAAGTATACAGGAAATACTTCTTACATGAGTACACAGATTTATGCACAACATGTCCTTTGTTTACTCGGTTCTCTCACCGTACCCCCTCCAATTGTGTAGCTCTATTCACTGCAGGTCAGCTTTATATGAGGCACAAAAATAAAAGGAAGTGTGTACAATGAGCTGATAATTGATCATTAAGTTGGGTCATAAAAACCACAGCATATTCTCCTTTTGAAGTCAAACAATGTGGAAATATTCTTTATAGTTTGGTGGCTTGTAAATGATACTTCCTCTTATATGATCATTTTTTTTCTCCAAATACCTCTGTGGTAAAAACTTAATTCCATTTGCAGTATTTAAGCTTACAGAAAAGTCCATTTAAAGCGTTCTTACTATACAGGCATCTGAGACATAATATGCACCAGGCTGACTGCTGGCAGCAAATATCCAAGATACCGAATGTGCAATGACATGCATATGGAAAACATGAACGCACTTTCTCAACATCATCTGCATTTTTCTGCTCCACAGACAGTATAAGTAACACTGTCAGGCTCACGCCCAGGAAACTCGCACATATACTAAAGTCAGTGATGAAGAAATTGCAGTTTCATGGCAGAGTCCATTCCCACCTCCTAAGATATGCTATTTTCCAGCTGAGTTGTTTTTCAATCATTGTTCCTATCTTTGTTTAGCAGTTCCTGTAAGAGAGATTTCCTTCCTGTTTCCTGATGTTCAGGATCTTCCTTTATTAGCGGGCTTTGTGTTTGAGTGTAATGTGATAAATATTTTTCTAATTATTCATTACATCTTCTATAACTGTATATTAGCGCCTTAAAATAAAGGTTAAGTAATGTGTATTGATGACCTGGGCTCTAATCCTTACCTTAACTAAAATATGTTGACAAAGACTGAGCTGATTGACTCAAACTAAGTTCCTCTTACAAACACACCCCTCAACGCTTCACCTCAGATGCCCCACTTCTGTCAAACTCGGTGCTAAAACGCTGTAAAAATATTCTTTTAGCGTCTCAAAAGCAAGTCAAGTGAAGCACATCTCTGCCATTTTTTTCCCAGCTGTTTCCCTTTCATGCAACAACCCTCTGCCTGAGTTCAATTTCAGATAATCACATTATAAACTCAAAAAGTAATTCTGAACATCTGACACATTATGGAAGAAATCCAGAGATCCCAGCCTTCTTGTCACAAGCTGCCTGTCAGCTGTGGAGACGAAGATTTAATAATGTTTTTTTCTCATTTTGTATTTAAGTCGCTCGGGTTTTCTGATTCAGTAGAACAATAAATCATAGAGGAATGGTGTTTTATTTGCTATGGAGGGAAAAGCGGTGTTTCTCTCTTCCCCTCTGTTGCACACACACTATGCATGAATATTATAAATTTAACTAAAACCACGAAGGACATTCTAATATCGTTTGGGTTACCTTGCCTGGCTAACCCAGCTGTTTATTATTCCTCCGTGGGGAACCCTATTGTCCATCTGCACTGAGCTCCATCAGCACCCATCTGCTGTCCCTTTCACCTCACGCTCACCTCCGCTGCCTCTCATCCCCCAGATCTCTGTTACACGACAAAGACCGCTTTATAAATTGACCAAGGTGTAAAACTAAACCCAACAGAAGAAACAAGCTGTGGAATAACTTACAACAATCCAGAATGAACAAGTAGTACTGGGTGTAGTAATCTATTTCCTTCAATCTTAGGTTTTTTCACTTTTAATAAGAAGAAAAGGCAACACGAGGATGAATTTCAGTATTTGTAGCTCGCCCTGCATGATCATTTCACCATAACAAGCATGAGTGTCTTAATATGTTAAGCCTTATTTGATGCCCTAAATTAAAGGAAGGCTTAGGGCTCTGCCTAGTGGTTGTAATATCAATTACAGTGAACAGGCTCCTCTGCTATTATTTTAAAGGGATGGATTACCATTAAATTTGGTTCCCAGAAAGTGAAACCTAATGTTTCGTTTTCTGGGAACATAAAAATACGATTCCAGGACTTTCCCTGAAGTCTACTGGCATTTAAGATCTAGCTCCATGTTTCTTCCAGCTCTGTTGAGCACAAAAACATTCACAGAAGCGTACTAAAGTGCAGTACAAGCAAACATCTAATAGATCACAGAAACACACACAGAGACATATAAATATATTGCACATAAATGTCTGTAATGTAGCATAAACATAAATAAAGAACTATATGCTTACCTGGTCTAAGTTTTTAATCAAATAGAACAGAAACATTTTCTATCAGGCTGAACTCCAGAAGAAGTCGGGTCATAGCCACAGCCTCGGTTACTTGTGCAGCTCCAGGCGATGCTTGCAGACTACATCAAGGCTGGCTTGATTTTCTACAGCAGCGGGGACTGAATGCACTCCAGTCCAGACCTGCACAGTCTAAACAGATAGAATTACAGAAAAGCACAGGCACTCTAGACTACAAGGCTGAATTTTTTTAAAGGCTAAAATCTGTGACCAAAAGAAGACTTCTCTGCAAAGGAAATAGAAAATGTCAGGCCATTTACAGACTCTAAATCCACTAGGAGGCAGTAATGTTAAAGTTAATTGTCTGCTAAAAGTAATGAGATATGATGCAGATGACTGAAGTCAGCCTCTGTCAAAGGTGGAAGACTTGTATTGTACTTTTACTGTAGAAAACAGACCAGCTTATGGCTTCCTGTATGAGTTTCCTTTACTATGTCACAATTTAAATGAATTTTATGTGGTGCACTTTTGGGAAACTCAATGACTCAGTAATGCCAGATCGTACTTTGTCCCTGTTTACTTAGTAAGTTTTCTGGGGGTGTTTGCAATGAACAGTGTTCATTGCAAAAAATAAAAAAATAAAAAATAAAAAATTAAGTATCGCATCTTATTTCAAACAATTAAAAAATTCCAGGAGCCTGGTAAAGAGCTAGGGCAGCCTGAGGGAGGAGGCTGCATTAAGCAGGCCTGTGAGTTGGAAGGGCAAAACAGCTCCACCACTGAAGAGACTTGATCTGGAAGGTCAAACGTTTGGAGACACCAATTTAATGGTTTTTCTTTAATTTTACTACTTTCTACTTTTTAGACACATACTGAAGACATCAAATATATGAAGCAAGATATATGGAATCATGTAGCAAAGACAAAATGATAAATAACTCTAAATGTGTCTTATATTTTAAATTCCTCAAAGTAGCCACTCTTTGCTTTGTCGACAGCACTGCAAACCCTCGGCCTTCTCTCAATAAGCTTCACAATGTAGTCACCTAAAACAGTTTTCACTTCACAGGTGCACCTTGTCAGGGTTCATTTGTGGAATTTCTTGCCTTCTTAATGGAGTTGGGACCATCAGTTGTGTTGTGCAGACGTCAGGTTGGTACACAGCTGTCAGCCCTATTTGACAACTGTTAGAATTCATATTATGCCAAGAACCAACCAGCTAAATAAAGAGAAGCGACAGTCCATCATTACTTCATCATTAAGAACTAAAGGTCAGTCAGTCTGAAAAACTTTGAATGTGTCCTTAAGTGCAGTCGCATAAACCATCAAGCGCTACGACGAAACTGGCTCAAATGAGGGCCGTCCCAGAAAAGGAAGCTCAAGAGTCACCTCTGCTGTTGAGGATAAATTCATCCGAGTCACCAGCCTCACATATTGCAAGTCACCAGCACCTCAGTTTAGAGCCCACATAAATGCCACACAGAGTTCCAGTAGCCAACTCCTAGCTTCCACAGTCACCCGACCTAAACCCAATCGAGATGGTTTGGGATGAGATGGACCGCACAGTGACAGCAAAACGGCCAACAAGTGCTCAGCATCTCTGGGAACTCCTTCAAGACCGACTACCCGTCTACCTGAAGCTTATCGAGAGAATGCCAAGAGTGTGCAAAGCAGTAAAATCAAAGCAAAGGGTGGCTATTTTAAAGAATCTATAACATAAAATATGTTTTGAGTTATTTCACACTTTTTTGTTTACCACATATTTCCATAAGTGCTTTCATAGTTTTTATGCCTTGAGTGAGACTCTACAATGTAAACAGTCATAAAAAGAAAGACAAACCATTAAATGAGATGGCGTGGCCAAAATTTTGACCTGTAGTGTGGGTTAACACACAGATTCTGACAGAAGTCTGACTGTCAGTGTCAGATATGGGCAAGCGGAGCAGGAAAGCGGTGTCCTGGATTGCTGGGATGGCATGGCGGTGGCAGTGGTGGGAGAAGAGCAAGGCTGGGGTGAGCCACTGGGAATCAGACAGTTAAATAAAATAATAAAAGTGTAGAAAATGATGTATAAAACATTGGACACAATTTTCAGGCTCGTGCCCTGCATCCTATTACAGATTTATTACATGTAAAGTACAACTGCACATGAATTAAACATAATCTTGTGCTGGGTAAATGCTCTGCAAAAAAGAAAAACTTTTATGAGCCTTTACTCAAGTTAAATTTACACCCCGTTTAAGCGACTTAAGAGTACACAAGTTGTACATTCAAAATAAGCTACCTAAATAAAATGTCCTTATTATGTAGAGACTGGGACTTCTCAGAATTACAATTAGGCCATTATTTTATTGGATAATTGCAGCTGTGGAAGACTTTAATCACTCGTATACTGCTGTGTCATTAGATGTATACAATTCCATTTATTTTAAAGCTGACTTATTATGTTGCAGATAAATTGTGTGGAATATAACAAACAAATGCATGCAAAAAAAGTAGAACTGGAAGAGAAAATACACAGTACATTAAACCTGCACTTTAATGAAGCACTTGAGTAAATGTACTAAGTTATGTTCCTTTCCACAGCTACTGTGACAGTCAGCGCACATTGGTTTTATTACTGTTTTATATTTTTTCACTGGTTTGATTGTGATTTTATTTAGAATTTTTACTTTCAGTTCTGCTTACTTTTGGTTAGTTTCCAGTGTGTTTGCTAGTTTCAGTTCAGCTTTTATTTTTCAATAATATTCATTTTTGTTCTGAGTATAATTCATTTCACTGACAGCTTAAGTTGCAGTATTATTATAATGTGGGTATTAATTTTTCAGGGGAAAGTTTTAAGGTCAGAATAGATATTGCAATATAAACACAATGCCACATTATAAAGATTAAGGGGAAAGTAAAAAACAAACAAGCATAAACACACTGAAAAAAAACTCACACTAAAGGCATTTCCTCTATATTTTATTTCAATTAGTTTTGTGAGTATAGACAATCAACTCAGTTGGTTCTGTAGCTTTTATTTTTACTTTTTTGCCACCATATGCAATGTTTGTTTAATGCCTAGCCTAACTTCTTAAAGCTTGTCCATAACACCAACAACAGCAAAACACCAACAAAAACATAAGATATAAAAGTTAAGCTAAAAGTAAAACATTTAAAGTTAAAACGGGTGCATTTTGAAATGGGTATAAAGATAAACAACTGTAAATGTTAAGTTTTTCCAGCAACTTTGCTTTACTTTGACTTCTAAACTCATACAAAATATATATGTTTTGAAAACTAACCATAAGTAATTTACTTTTTGGTCTATATAGTTCAAACTTTTCACTTAAGAGTAGTTTATCCTTACTAAAAAGCAGACTGTCAATCTGCATGCTAGCCAACAACAACTTTATGTAGCATTGCTGTATGCTAATTACAAACCTTTATCCTGATATTAAACCACTTTTACACACATAAAGTTCACAGAGAGGATGCAGACGCCCTCTTTATGCAGTGTACTAGTTAACAGTTTACATTTTACTTTAAAGAGCTGCTGTAAGGCGGGTGTTGTCGAAATACTCGGACTGAACGTGGAGAAATCGATTACTTCTCAGTAACGACCTCTCCGCATAGTGTGGCGAGCTAGCAACAGTGAGAGCGCTGACCTGCTGCAGTTGTGTGAGGGCGCCACTGGGAGAATCCCTCTCTCCGCTCCCTCTGTCTCCACAGCTCCGTTTTCCCAAAGAAAAGAAGAGGAGAACTAGGTCCGGGGAGGAGGAGGGCCGCCATTACGGAAAGCTGACAGAAATACCACTTTCACACGCGCAATCTGCTCCTAAATTGATCGGGACATGAGCAGTTTGTGTTGCAGCAGAAGGTATTTCTTAAGCGAAACAGCACCGGCGATTGCATCAAACTCACCGTTGTCTCGTGTGCGCGACCGGCCCAGCGTTATGTGGGCACAACAATGGACAGAATAATTATTGAAAAAGCAACGTGGTGAACCGGGAGGAGAAGACGACTGAGTAGATTTTTTTTTCTTTTTTTAAACACGCGTCTCAATCTCGCACTGGTGAAGAAAGCGTTGCGGGAACAGAAATCGGATTGTTCTATTGTTCGGGATATTTATTTCTTGCCTTTCCCGTGTTTGATTTCAGTTAAAACATTAGTGCAAGGAAAAAAAACAAAACAAAACAGGAGAAATCCAGACATGGGTGAAGGATATTGTATTCAGATGAGCACATCGCACAAATTGTAGAGGTATCGGTTTCATGTGCGAATAGTTCCGACCCACAGTGCATTCTCTGCGGCTGCTTATGCACATCAGGCGGCGGCGAGGGCTGCGGCAAGAGCTGGCCTGACAGATGCAAGAGGAGAAAGGGGGAGAAATGCAATGGTATGTATTCTACGTGCTCGCTCTGCTTTATTGGCTATTTCCTAGCGAAGCTGTCGAGTGCTACACCCCAAGACAGCTGGGTAAATACATTCCCGTGAAAGGTTGTCTGTCTGTCGGTGTGCAGGAGGTAAGGCTATCCCGGCTCTCCGGCGCTGCCATTTCATTATGTAGACAGCAGGCCTGGCGTGGTCACCCCTCTCTGTGCACCCTCAAGCCCGTGTTAACTGTTAATCCTTTTGCAGAACATATAAGGTTACACAATCTTAGCTTTAAAAAAAGTAGGTTGTGTGAAGGGAATTGATTAAAAGGGCACTTTGGTGTGCTGTTTTGCTGATGGCGTTTTGGTAAAGGCATGCTGGTTGGTTTTTTTTCTTGATTTGAAAAGAACTTGTCTGCTCATTTGGATATCAGGCCTTGCTCAGCTGAGCTGTTTGGACTGCCCATGTTTGCTTCCGACCCCACCATGAAGTCATGGTCATATGGCAGGTTAAATATTTCTTCATGACTCATGCTTGTTTTGTATTTTTAAATGCAGGATTTTTTCACTCAGGAAATCTTATTACACATTAATTAACCTCTGCATATGGTTTATTTTTTATTTTTTTAGATCACATTATGTGCCGACTATTGTAGCAGAATTGCATCAGTGCTATAATAATGGAAGCATTAGTCAGTGCCATAAAATTGGCAGTAACATTAAGTGTCTTAAAGGTGTGAGCAAGTCCGTAGCCCTTTGGCAATGATGGTAAGTGTGACTAAGGCTGTTTAATAAGCTCTTCATTCATTTTTTTGGTCAGGGAAGATGCTTTTAAAGATAGCTGCTGTTTCCCTTAGGCTGAAGAGTGTTGACTGAGGCGCTTTCACCATAGTCATTTTAATGCTTGTCACCCCACTCACTGATCAGCTGAGGTCGTCATTTTAACAAAAAGGGGGGAAAAAGTACCACTCCCAACATGTTTCTCCAGGGATTAATGTCATCTTTTGATCCTCTGTAGATGTTTTTAAGGAATTCTGGCGATCAGTACAGCTGGTGTTGAAATGAGTCGATTAAATAAATTTGTCGATCAGATAAAAGATTATTCAAAAATTTAGATGAAGCGCAGTCAAGTGTACTTGCCCATTTTATTCAGTTCATTAATTGAATGTGCAAAAATGAGCCTTCTTCCTTATTTGAGATTGTGTTTGGCCCCCTGCAAGGAGACCACATTGCTGGTATTCCTGTTATTATATGTCTGTTTTCATTACGCTTTGCTGGTGGCAGGATGTATGCCAGTGTGCATATAATATTAATGCAGTGATGTCGGGCAACTTGAAATCAATTAAAAATAATGAGAACCAGTATTGGTTGGTGTTATGGGTTCTTTGTGGCATTTACCATTGAGAGGATTCATCAGTCTTTGTCAAACAAAGGGAATAAGCACAAAATGGATTAATATGTGCCTCCATTATTATTATAGATAGCATCTGTTGTTAAGAAGGATAAAAGTAAAAAATGTCTCATTCAAACTAACAAGTACATTTTTACATCTTAAAGTAGCATAATGCTATTTACTTTTATTATTATAGCTGCTTAAGGGGAAGAAGGGCCTGACATTTGCCCAATCATTCTCTTTCATACTGTTTTGTTTCCCCCCTTTATTTCAAAATGAGTTTTTGGTTGATTGCTTATTTTGTCTGATTTCATTTTTTTTTTTGTTCTCTGTTTCTTTTGACAGGATCTGATTCATGCAACGAGTGAATGAAAGAACCGTCTGCTCATATCACTGCGGCGCTGTCTTATTATAATTTAAGCCCCAGCAGACGAAAGAGAAATCTGATCTCCTTTGTAGATCAGCAACTTTATGGACAAACATTCAAGTGAACTCCTTCATACAGTGCCTGTTTAAGGCAGGATGAGTGTCAGCAGGCTATGATGGCCAAAAAGCAAGATGCGCGGTCGCCCATTTACAACCTCATTGTGGTGGGTTTGTCCGGAACAGAGAAAGAGAAGGGACAATGTGGGGTTGGCAAGTCCTGCTTGTGTAATAGGTTTGTGCGTCCTAGCGCTGATGACTTCTACTTGGATCACACGTCCGTGTTGAGCACCAGCGACTTTGGGGGTCGAGTGGTCAATAATGATCACTTCCTATTTTGGGGGGAGGTGTCACGGGTTCTCGAGGAGGGGCCCGAGTGCAGGATGCATGTTGTGGAGCAGACCGAATTCATTGATGACCAGACGTTTCAGCCACACCGTAGCACTGCTATGCAGCCCTATATCAAACGGGCAGCAGCAACCAAGCTGGCCTCAGCAGAGAAGCTCATGTACTTCTGTACGGATCAGCTAGGTCTGGAGCAAGACTTTGAGCAAAAGCAAATGCCAGAGGGTAAGCTGCAGGTCGATGGCTTCCTCCTTTGTGTCGATGTAAGCCGTGGCATGAATCGAAACTTTGACGACCAGCTGAAATTTGTCTCAAACCTGTATGGTCAGCTGAGCAAGACTAAGAAGCCCATTGTGCTGGTCCTCAGCAAATGCGACGAAGGAGTAGAGCGCTACATTAAAGATGCACATACCTTTGCTATCACAAAAAAGAGTCTACCGGTAGTTGAGACATCGGCACGCTCAAACATAAATGTGGACCTCGCCTTTCTCACTTTGGTTCAGCTTATCGACAAGAGCAGGGGCAAGCCTAAGATCATCCCATACTTTGAGGCCCTAAAACTCCAGAGTCAGCAGATAGCTTCTGCTAAGGATCGCTATGAATGGCTAATCAACCGTATAGTAAAGAATCATAATGAAACCTGGCTAAACACCAGTCGACGCATGAACAACTCCCCAGAGTACAAAGAATATGTCTTCTTGGAGGGAACGGCTAAATGCAAGAAACTTTTTCAGCAGCATGTCTACCGTCTGAAGCAGGAACATATTGAGAGGCGTCGGAAAATATACGTAAGCACTCTTCCTTTAGCACTTAGCTCTTTAGTGCCTGACCTGGATGAGATTGATCAGCTGAGCTGGTCTGGGGTACAGAAAGTCCTTGAGTCCAAGCAACACTTCACCCACTGGTTTGTTGTTCTGGAGGACTCGCCATGGGAGGATACGTCTCACATCGACAACATGGAAGATGAGCGAATCCCTTCTGACCTGTTGGAGACTGCTGAAGCAGAAGAAATTTTTAATGCCCACCTGGAGCATCTGCGCAATGAGTGCAAACGGGCGGAGATGAGGCAGGAGTTTAAGCAGAGACTGGCTTCCTCCCCCTTCGTAACACCTGGTAAACCTTGGGAGGAGGCCCGGAGCTTCATCATGAATGAAGAGTTCTACCAGTGGCTTGAGGAGCCAGAATACCTGGATCTCTATAATCGGCACCAGAAGGAGATCATTGACCGTGCTAAAGAAGACTTCCAGGAGCTTCTGCTGGAATACTCTGAGCTTTTTTATGAGCTTGAAGTGGATGCTAAACCCAGCAAGGAGAAGATGGGGGCAATCCAAGAGGTTCTTGGGGAGGAGCAGAGGTTCAAGGCACTACAGAAACTTCCTGCTGAAAGAGATGCTTTGGTATTAAAACATATCCACTTCGTCTATCATCCCACCAAGGAGACCTGCCCTAGCAGTCCACACTGCGTAGACTCTAAGATTGAGCAGCTGTTAGCATCACGTTTTCCCTCCCATTACCCCTTTTTTGACGTGAAAGCTCATTTTGGGGACACCAAGGCTGACAGAATAAACCTCGTTATACTTGGGAAGGATGGACTAGCCAGAGAATTTGCCAATGAGATTAGAGCTCTCTGCACAAATGATGACTGGTATGTGTTAGACGGGAAGATGTACGAACTGACGCTGCGACCTATTGACGGAAATGTACGTCTTCCGGTAAATTCTTTCTACACCCCCACTTTCACTCCTCATGGGTGTTTGTGTTTGTATAATTCAAAAGAATCACTTTCTTATGTGGTGGAAAGCCTCGAGCGACTTAGGGAGTCAACTCTGGGCCGAAGAGATAGCCAGCTAGCACAGCTGCCGACTTCACTGCTTTTAGTCACTAAACGAGGTGTAGGATCATACGTTGATATAGGTGGTGACACTGCCTTAAACTTGATAACACAGGGGCAGCAGTTTGCAAGGAGATTGCAGTGTAGCTTTTTAGACCCCGCCTCCCCCGGTGTGGGCTACGGCCATAACATAAGTGAGACCCAAATAAACCAGGTGCTGAGGGGCCTTCTGGATATTAGGAGGAGCACATCTTTTAGTAGCAGCTCCCCACCTCTCCTCCCTGAGCCTCCAGGTCTCCGAGACTCTCAGCCAGTCCCAGAGGCAGACCTTCGCATTGTCATGTGCTTAATGTGTGGAGACCCCTACGACACCGAGCAGCTCCTGTCGCCTTTCTTAATGCATCAGCACTGCAGGCCCATGTCTAATAGCGGCACCTCCGTGTTGCTGGAGCAGACAGTTGGTGGACATAAGCTGGCTATAGAGCTCTCTCTGCTTTCATACCACGCCTCCTTCACTTTGAGGAAGAGCAGGTTAGTGCACGGCTACATTGCAGTCTACTCGGTCTCCCGAAAGGCCTCCCTGGAGACCCTTTGTGCATTCTTGTGCGAGGTGCAGGACATCATCCCTATTCAGCTGTTGGCAGTCGGAGATAGCCAGGCAGAGCTCACTGACAGCGATTATGCCTGTGAACAGCTGATCCAGGGGGAGGAACTAGCCCATGAGATTGAGGGTCGCTTCAACAGCGTGGTTTGTGGGTCTGGAGGGGTGGTGGGGGGCCTCCACAGGATAGAAATGTTTCATCCGTTTCTGATGGAGGTAGTAGAGAAGCGCAACATCGTGGAGGCCACGCACATGTACGATAATGTCGCTGAAGCGTGTACCAATGAAAATGTCTACTCCCCGCGCTGCAGCTCTCCTAGTCCTGTGACTATGTTCCTGGATTCCGAGGACGACGTAGAGCCGTCGCCACCGTACTATGATGGCACGCTCACATCTCACAGTAGCGGTTTCAACATGCCCGACTTAGATTCCAGTGACATCTCTGTCATATCTGATATCAGGGACTTTGAGAACAAACTGAACAACAAAGTACCCCCCCAAGTGAGAGTGAAACCAGGCGTCACTTTCGATTTCCGGAAAATGAGCCGTAACCCATATATCGACACGCTGGGTCATCGGCGGTCCTTACCCTCCGCTGTCACCTGGGTTCCTGGTGGCGACATGGGATACGATCCCTCAGACTACGCCGAACCCATTGACGCCGTTTCAAAACCCCGCCCGAGCAACGAAGAGATCATCTACTCGGTACCACATGACAGCACACAAGGAAAAATCATCACCATCCGCAACTCAAACAGGATGCACTCCAATGGAAACGGCTCAGACAGCGAAGCGGACAGCAGCTCTCTGGAACGAAGGAGGAAGTTCTCTGCAATTGGCGTGAAGCCTCGTCTTTACCGTGACCGCTCTAAGCGGCTGGGCAAGTTCAGTAGCTTTCGCACGAGCTTCATAGGCAGTGATGACGAGATGGGAGCTCTTCCAAAGTCCAAAGAAGATGACTTTGGGACCCTTAAAGGTGAAAGTCTAGTGAATGAGGAGAGCGAAGACCCAAAGAAGAGGAACATTCTGAAGAGCCTGCGGCGGACAGCCAAGGTGTGTTATTATTGAGAAAAGCCATTTGTCATGTTGCATAGCTTTCAAATTAGTGTAATGACTGGACATTTTGTTAGAAGCCATGGAGTGCACCTTGGTGTCAGCGTAATTATTGCTTTGAGATACTAAGAGTTTCGTTCTTTTTCTTTTTTCCTGCAGAAAACTAGACCAAAGCCCCGTCCAGCTATTCCCAAGCCCTTGGAGAGCAACTACTTCGGGGTCCCCCTGGTGAATGTGGTATCCCCAGACAGACCGATCCCTCTCTTCATTGAAAAGTGTGTCCGCTTCATTGAGACAACAGGTAAGTGCCTTTTTTTTCCTCGTTAATTAACAGCTTATTTCGTGCTGTTCCTTTAATTGTGTTTAAAGTTTCGTTCAGAGAAATTCTCACTGCACTCATCACTTATCAGGTTTTTAATTTGTATTTTTGGTAAAGGTTCTTTATGGAATTTATTTTAGTGATTAATCATCTTCACATTCCTGCAGAGTTCCTAAACCCATGCACCTGCTCATGACCATAATGCAATGTGAAATTAATACTAGGGTGCGTTTAATCTTCAGCATCTGTTTAATCTTCGGCGTCTGTGTTGCCTCGTCTGTTTGCAAAGGGGCTGATGAAGTGTTTGTGCTTTGCTTGTTTCCCACTGTGACACCCACCCATGTCTTTCCCCTTTTCTCTGCTTCGCTCGTTCTCCTTCAGGCCTGAACACGGAGGGTTTGTACCGCGTAAGCGGCAACAAGTCTGAGATGGAGAGCATGCAGAGGCAGTTTGAGCAGGGTGAGTTGCTCATCGTACTTGTTTGAACCAGCTGTAATTATGTGACTGCCTAATCAAAACATGAGCAGGGTTACTGGAAGAAAGTGACACAGAACTCATTGCTCATTCCCGATGAATGCTACGACTGACGGGCGTTAACTGTCATTCTCCCTGTGCAGACCACGGATTAGACCTAGTGGAGAAAGACTTCTCCATAAACACTGTGGCTGGAGGCCTCAAAAGCTTCTTCTCTGAACTGCCTGAGCCCCTGGTGCCTTGTGCTCTGCAGGTGGACCTACTGGATGCTTTCAGTAAGCAAACACTGCTGGGCTGGGAGAGTCTTTACTAGAACATAAAAAGATTATTTTTTTAGAAAGGAACAGGGGTGGGAAGGTTTTGGCAGAGCTGCTCCATTTTAGGTGTTTTAGTCTTGACAAACATTTTTCTGACGGCGTAGAGAGACGTTTCAGCTTTAAATCACTGTGTGTGATGAAGTCTTTAAAAAAACATCCTGTTTGTGCAGAAATCAGTGATAGAGAACAGAGGCTATATACCATGAAGGATGTCCTGAGGAGGTTCCCCAAGGAGAATTATGATGTCTTCAAATATGTAACGAACCACTTACACAAGTAAGTCCCCTGTTTACGGTTTAAATCACTTTCATGCGTTGTCATCTATTTTTTTTTTTTTTGTTTGCTTGTTTTTTACCCCTCCTCCGCTATATGAGAAGGAATCAGTCAGTGTACCTTTCTGTGTTTTCTCAGGGTGAGCCAGCTGAACAGGGTGAACTTGATGACCAGTGAGAACTTGTCCATCTGTTTCTGGCCCACCCTCATGAGGCCAGACTTCTCCACCATGGATGCTCTGACTGCCACGCGCACCTACCAGACAATCATTGAGACCTTCATCCACCAGTGTGCATTCTTCTTCTACAACCAGCCCCTCCTCGACTCCCCCACCGGCCTGGGGGGCCTCCCTGCCTCGCCCACCACCACCCTCGGCGGGAGCTCTGCCTACTCTTGTTACCGCTCCTCTCCACCTCACACCACCCCTCACTTCAGCCCCTTGCAGCAGTCCCCACCCACTACCCCCCAGTCTCCCCTGCAGTCTCTGCTCCCTCCCCTCCACCAGCACCCCCACGCCCACCATTCCCCCGCTGAACAGGAGACACTGTGAGAGACAATGAAACCATGTGTGCCCATGATGATGCTGGACCTTATCACCAACACACACTAAAAGAAAAAAAAAAGAGTAAAAAAAAAAAAAGAAGTAAAAGAAAAAAATGTGCACATGCACATTTCATTTTTGATCATGATGGACAACCCGGGTTATGAGGACTGGAGATGGAAAGTGTCTGAGAAACTTCCCCAACCTGCCAATTATGTTCATGCTTGTGTGCGTCGGAGCGGAGGCTACCATTACCAGTGAAGCTCCTTCCGCCCTCTGATCTCCTGGATGAGTGGATGTCGGGTCAGAGAAGTGGAGGGCAGAGGTCACGGTCACAGCGAGCCACCACTCATCCCATAATACAAAGAAATAGAGACCTCTATGACAAGCTGGAAGAGAAAGACTTGGGGCCACCGTGTTTTTAGTATGTGTAAAAACTGTTTTTAGTTTCTTTTTCTCTTGAAAGTACTGCCACTGGATTTATAGTCTGGTCCTCTGTAGGTCCTTTGGGCAGCAGTTTGCTCCATATAGCAGAGTTTCCTCTGTGTCTGCCTTTTGGGTTTCTGTCATCGGCTCTACTTGAGGGGTCAGCATGGGGATGGGAGGGAAGGGAACGGTTGGGAGTAACACATCCAGGGATGCACTTTAATGATCACTGTTGGGTTTTTTCTCCTCAAAAGGGGTTTTTCTTTTTTTTGACATACAGTTTTTCTTCTTTCGTGATTTTAATTTCACAGCTCAAACAGCCATACCCATTGCCACGACAGAGCTCTGGCAGATCAAACTTTGTTTACATCAGACCTGTTTTTTGTATCCACAAACTTATCTGAAGCACTTTTTTTTTTTTTTTTTTAATAGTGTAGTGTTTAAATATGAAGAAATGCCACACGGATTCATTGTTCATGTTTGTTTGTGTAGTGGTCAAGTGTGGCATCAGTACAGGCTTGTGAAACAAGATCCTTTTTTAAAAAAAAAAAAAAAAAAAAAAAAAGAAAAGGAAAAAAAGTGGATCCGGTGTGGGTGGGTGGGGGTTTCCCATTTTAGGTCGGTGGGAAATCCAAATCCGCTCGTGTTCCTCATTCATCCAGCCATGTGAAAAACTCGTTTTGTTTGTCCTCTTTTCTAGCTGTTGGTCGATCAGAGTGGGCGTATATAGGGATGCTTAGTTCGATTAGGCCGTTGGAATATCAGTGAAGGCTTTGCCTGCCGTCGGTCAAGTGAAGGAGAAAACTTTTGCCATTTTGAATGTGTAACCCAGCAACGCCATACATGCAAATTTTACGCTAGCATCTGTTGTCCACGTCAACCAAACACTTGAAACATGCTAGGTTTCCGGACGTGTTGCTGTGGCTGTTTATCAAACCGAGCGCTTTGTATCCGTGTACTATTAACTCTGAAGGTTTAGTATTCTCAACGCACTGTCACTGCTAGTCCTGCTATTGAAACACAATGACCAGTGGAAGTGAAGTACCTGCGGATCGAGACGTTCAGGAAGCACCCGTGGCAGTTTACTTGCTCTAGTTGATTAGTTTTGTGCTGCAATATCGTCCTTCATTTTCGCTGAAAACAAGCAGCACTGATAATGAAGGCCTAACAACTTTAATAACGGTTAAGTCCATGAGAGGAAGCACTGTCTCTTTCAATGAAGGTGGAAGATGTGGACCAGAGGACTGCGGCTCTGCTGTAGTTCTCGGTTGCTATGACCACAGAATAGTGGGATCAACTGTATGAATATTTAGGATCAACAATTACTGGTACTTTTTGGGATCATGATGCTGTTGGAAGTCAGTCGTTTTACCTGTTCGTCAGGAGTATAAAATGAGGGCTTTCCTCAAACCGTGCAGTGCTTGCAGCTGAACCTGGCGCAGAACCGACCAGACAACACGATTCCCTGGAGTATATAAATGTTACGGCATCGCTCTCGATGCCCATCCTCGGCAGATCCTGCTGAGGCAAAAAAAAAGTGAGTGCGTACTACTCTATGATGGTTGTTTATTTGTATGTTTGGGGGGGAGGGGAGGGGGACACCACCTTTTAGTCAATGGTAGAAAACATTTCTAGTGTGTATTTCAATGATTGAAAGTCCATTTTTACAATTTTGTGAATGGTTCGAGGCCACCTGAGTTTAGTGCATGATTTTAAAAAAAATAAACAAAACACACATACACACACATGCACACACCAGGGGAGAAGGACGAAAGCCTCCCTCCCTGTTTTAAAACGTGAAATTAGAAGAAAACCAATACTGAAGTGAAAATAGCTGCAACGTGAAAGTTGATGTACTGTGCACCAGAAGCAAACCATGGAATTTGTCTGACTGAGAATAGTGTTTGAAGATGAAGGCCTTATGTGAACTGTATAATAGTTAATAAATTAAATCTTGTAAAATTGTCCCCAGTTTTCGCTGCTGCCTCTGTCTCCCATTGATCCTTTTCTCCGTTCAGGTTTGAAATGAGATTGGAGCTCCGCTGGTAAAAAAAAGCGCATTCTTTTGATTATACTTTGCGAAGCCACACAATAGCAGCCAGATGAAGGTTGTCACAACAGTAGAGACCAAGGAATTAAAAAATATCAATCATCCCATTTTGTAAGTTAAAAAAAGTCACTGTTGTGGGAAAATGGAGCGGAGGGCTAATGACAGTTTTTGAAAAGCCATTCTGCACTGTGCTCCCACCCGACAACATATAAGGCTGTTATTTTCCACTTTTTTAGCTGTGGAGTAAATAAGTGTGCTTTTTCTATTACTACTATTTTCTTGATTGACAGCTTAATAAACAAGCACAGCAACGCATGAATAGTCTACATGGCTGCTGGCACATATTGCCAAGGACAATGATTGAAGATTGTGTTGTATGAAACTTTTAATATAATAATCATCATCATCATGATAAGGTTATTCTCCACAGCATGCATGCAGAAATACCGTTACAGTAGTAGTAGGAGCTATTAGTGAAGCACACATGGTGCTTGTGACTCTGAAAAGCATCAATTATTCACAGTGTATCCGTCATGAGTGACTGCACGCTTTTGGGCGAGTACTGTCGTCACAGTATCTGTTAACCTCTGTGGGGAAGGGTCAAACATTATAGCGTTATGTCGCCCTCTTGTGGCCGTAGATCTGACACTGGGTGGGTGTTTCATTACATCTCGTCCATATTGTACAGTTTTCTGGCGAATCTTTACAAGCGTGTGTCTGTCCTTATGTACTGCTGTACATTTCTATTGGATTTACTTATTACGATGGGCTTGTGAAAACACGATCACTTCTGTGGCTTAAGAACTTCTTGAAGTGTCAGAAAATAAACCACATGATGTCATAATAATATTATTACCTATCATGGCTCCACTATTCAAATAAAACTAAGGAATCCTGAGCTGAAAGAAGGTGTAGAGTTCAGTATTTTGGACAAGTCAATTCTTTTTCAGTCTTTCTCTTTCCAGTATGCAGATCCAATGGAAATACAAGCAGATGGTCATTAACGCATATATCTAATCAGCCAATCACATGATTGAGAATGGATTCTTGATGGATTTGAGCATATATATAAATGCATAAAGAAAGGCCTGCTGAAATTCAGAATGAATATCAGAATGGGGATCTGTAGTTTACAGAGAACGGTTTGATATCAGAGATCAGAGGAGAATAGCCTGCTTTGAGCTGACAGGAAGGCAACAGTAACTCTTTGCAACCACGTTATGCAGAAGAGCATCTCTGAACACACAACACATCAAAGCTTTAAGCAGATGTGCTACGGCAGCAGAAGGCCGCACAGGTGCCGCCTCTGTCTAAGAACAGGAAATGGAGGCTTCAGTTTGCACGGGCTGAAAACTGGACAATGTAAAACGTTGTCTGGTTTGATAGGTCTTGATTTCTACTGCAGCATTTGGTAGGGTCAGAGTTTAGTGTAAACAATATGAAAGCATAAAACATCTACTTATTTCTGTTCATGGACTTCACTAGAGAGGCTTTGCACAGTTCAAAATAATCCTTGTTTGTCATATTCTGAGTCTAGGTCCATTCCCTCAGTTCATTGTCTGCCTAAATCTGTGTTAGCTCCTTTCCCCTCTTTTAGGCCAGCTGTCTAAGAAGGGTTTGATCAGGATGGGCTCTTGTGCTTAGCGCCACAACCGTGTACCTATGATGACCTTATCGAGGATATTAGGCATCATAAGGAGCCAAGTGTAGAAAAATCTGTCTTGTAGAGAATCTTTCAAACATTTTTTTGATTTCCAAGAGCTTTGGCTTATAGAAATCCATGGAAGATGACCTTTAGAGAGCATCCACCATAATAACAGCATACATATGACAAAACAGAAGGTCAACCATCAAACGTAGCCTCTTAAAATGTTGTATGATGTCAGTCTGCCACAGATTACCACAATTATGTAACTTTTCAAGACTTTTTCATTCACGTGGCAGCTCATTTACTATATGTATATATTTATATATATATATATGTTCATGAACACTGGTTTGGCTGTAAACTTCATGCGTGTGTAGGTCCAGACATTTTCACAAGACATACAAACAGACCTCTAGATAATGACAGAAGCCGTGACATATGAAAGATAGCTTTATTGCACAAGGTGTTAAATGATCTTTTTAGTTTTTGCTTTCTTTTCATAGAAAATGTACCTTTGAACACAAGCAATTGCTGTAACAAGCAACTCAAACAAATGTTTGGGATACCCTCAACATTTTTTTTTTTAAGTTTGGATTTTCATACACTTTTTCCCTTCAATTTTTCCCTTTTAGCAAGCATGCAATGACTTAATTTGAGGATGAACAAAATATAAAATAATGCTAATTAAAAAAAAAGGAAAAAGGACAAATGACAACATCAAAAGACTTTAAAAAAAGAATAAAAATTCAACAAATTAGTATCAAAAAACGTAAAGGGAAAGAAAAAATGTTGGTTTTTTTGCCCATTTCAGAAGTAAAATACTTTTTTCTTAATACTATTTCAATTTTGAAACTGGGGCATTCAACCCTGATGTGTCCCCTGATTTATTCTGACGAAAAAATAGCTCTTCATACAAAACTGTGTATATGTACAAGACTTAATCTATAAACAACACTGACAAAGGTAGAGATGATGGATCTTGTATGAATAGGGTGTTGAATTTTTTTTTACTTAAATTTATCTGAATGGGGTTTAAATGACAGGAGCCTGAACGATTCAGGTTTACAGACAGACTCCTGTCCAGTATATACACAATACAACAGTAGTTTGTGTGACCAAAAGAGCTATGAGTCCCTGATTTTCACTTGGCTGAACTAGTTTTAGCCACAGGCCACATAGCTTTGTACCGTTTGGCCTCTGGTACCAAAAAATTTAGACCAAACAAGTTGAACGGAAAATCAAAACGTGAAAATCAACCGAAGAACAGATTCCCCTCCCCCTAAACAAACAAACAAGCAAACAAAGCAAATGGGTGAATAAATATAAAACCACAAAACCGCTGCTTTGTAAATGCTTAAAACAATCGATCCATCATTTTCTTGTGTGAATGCACGTTAGCGCAAAAAAATGGAGGGGCATCGAGGTGAAGAAAGTGTGGCGTTTACAGTACTTAAAACTGGACAACAACAATGATATCGATCATATAATTTTCAAAACTGAACTCCCTGACATATAACATCTCTCGACATTAAATTATCTTACTTCATTCACATCATGACTGGGACTCCTTCAGCTAGCTGTCTTTTTAATCTACGAAGAGCAAAGCCTAGCTGTGTGGCACGGCTGACGGAGAAGTTGGCAGGATGCTCTATCCGTGACTGTCAATCTCTGCCGCCCGTGCCACAAATAGAAGCCTTAATACTCTATAATAACTAAAAGTCTGTGACCACTTTGCAGCAAACCTTCTCCCAGCATAAAACTTACTCGGGGATCCTCTGAGACACTGATTTGGTTTCTGAATGTTATTGTATTTACCAGCCACTCAGGCTACTGACACGCTTAATAAAAAGTCAAGGAGCCTATATCTTCATGGGTAGACTTATATTATTACAGAAATCCTGGAAGGCCTTGTGTCATGATTGTTTTCACCAAACAACCAAGGAGGCATTGCGATCCAAGGATGTCGTGTTCTGCTGCACTGTCTCGCTTCTCCCATGACACCGTGCGGATAGGAAAGCATCCCTCTCTGTCCAAACGTAAGCAAAACACCCTTCTTCTAGTCACCCTACATACAGTAACATACAAAACATCCTGTATATATACTAAACATTTTCTCTCTTTAGTCGAACCTTCATTTTTTTTTAATTCCTCTTTTTAAAATTTCATGATTGAGCGATTGTCTCGTTCTTAAAATTTGACATTAACATTAAATTGCTGTATATAATACTACACTATTGTAGTATGTAAAATTTATACTTTGTCATAATTTCACTTAAATGTCAATAATATACCTACATAGAAATATATATGTAAATTCTTTATAATACCAAATATTCTGTATTTGTAATGTGAGAAATTATAGCTGGTTCATTTGGGTTGTCATGATTTGTTTAAGTTAGACAATGTTCAGCTGCAGAGTGATGTGTGGAGGATGCTAATGTGACTAAAATCTTCTTGGAAGGGAACCTGAATCATTACTTTTGGGAATCAACATTATAGAATCTGCCAATAGCATTATGGGGCTTTAAGAGACACAAAGAGGGTGAAAGATACAGTAAGAAGAGGGAACTTAATCGGAAGGCTTGCAAATTGACAATAATACTCAAACTATGGAGGACAGTGTGTGTGTGTGTGTGTGTGTGTGTATGTGTGTGTGTGTGTGTGTGTGTGTGTGTGTGTGTGTGTGTGTGTGTGTGTGTATGAGACAGGATGGCCACACAGCTTCATACTGGCTATGGTAGTCTTCATATTCATAAACACAGAGGTTTTAGCTCCTCGGTTACAGTCAGTATTTCAAAATGACCACAGAATCGCTTCCTGGTTTTTCGCTGTGCAGCTCCTGCGGGAGCTGAGTGGAGCTGAGCACCAGCCGGCTGGAACTGTTAGTTGGAGTTAGTAGTTCTTTTATAAGAGTCCCACATGAACATGAAAAGTAGGGTTAGCTGGGTCTCTGTCTGGGAGAACATCTTTCCCAAGGTAAATCAGACAGGATGCTGGGCAGTTCACCATTAATTGGGTTTGAAGAAAAAATGGTTGCATGCCCATTCAGACCCAGATCGCAGAGCGCCAGAGTGGGGCTGGCTGAGGAGTGGGACAGCAGTCTGTGCAGAAGAATGGACTACACCAGCGTGTATGACTTGGAGTAGGCCCCCACACTCTGTTTCTGCAACCTCCCCAGTGCAGAGGAGCTGCTCTCTAGGAGCGAGTCTCTGGAGCCCCCCACCTTGTTACTGTTGGTGGGGTTGCTGCTCGTGCTGGAAGTGGAAGCTGTTGCTGCATTATTGGAGCTGGGCATGGTGAGAGTCCTTTGAGGCAAGGTGGCAGTGCCAGAGCTCGTACCCAAGCTGCCCAGCCCAGAGTGGCCCAGTGTCTGGGCCTGCTGCTTCGCAGGGTCTAGAGTCTTGTGACGGCCCTGGGTGTGATACGCCCGCTGCGTCAAGCTGCGGATCGACGCTTCTCGCGGTGGCACTGCTGGGCATGGGTCATGCAGCTCCCCTTGCTTGCGGAAAAATGGGTCTGTCTTCATGTAAAGGGGTAGGTTACAGAATTCACCTAAAAAGGCCACAGAAGAGTCAGGACAAAACCATACAATTCATTCATATGAGTAATAACCACTTCCTATAACAGACACAAGTTGGATATTTTGCTTGTGTATCATAAGTCTGTTACGTGCATGCAATTATTAGTGCTATTAAATATTTTTTGATTCATCCTTGAATCATCCAGAGTAGCAATAATTCATTGGCTTGCACATTTATCTTCATTGTGTAATAAAAACCTTTCTTTGTTTATACAAATGCCAACTTTACACAGAGACCTTTTATTCCCATTACAATATTTCCAGTCTGAATATTCTGACCTGATCACACCTCTTTGCCCTTCATTGTGTCTAATGAAAGGCAAATGGCAAAAGTACAGAACAGAGCAGGCATCAGTGATATGAAAGTCAGATACAGTGGCTTGCAAAAGTATTTGGCCCCCACAACTTTTCCACATTTTATCACATTACAGCCACAAACATGAATCAATGTTATTGGAA